TTTTAGCTAATTCAGGCAACAGTGTTTTTGACGACTCTTTTTCCTCAAGATTCAGATTTAAGGGTATCAGACATTTGCTCTTTCTTTTTTCTCGAATCAAAGAATGATACTCATTCAAATGAACCGTCTACCAGCATGTAGCTTTTGGAGATTTAAAACCATTATATCTTAGGGGCCGCTTGGTTAAAGGATTTGGAAATCACGTAATAGAATAAACCCCTTATTTATTGCTTAGGTTAAACCTATCGGAATGTAATTTTTGGAATCATTTCTAAAAAAACCGGACTTCTCCCATTCCTGACCAAGTTGGGAGGTTTTGTGAAATCCCACGTTTGATTCCAAAGCTAATAAATAGTAATAATTTTTTTCATTTCATCTCACTTATTGCTTCACCATCTCTCTTCTATTTCCATCATATTCTCCTATTTGCTTCCTTCCCCATATCAGACCGGCCTTTCCCTTTCCTCTATCCCACTTATTCCAATCTTCTAATTTCACTCTTACCGGTGTAGCAGGTCTCTTTTTTTCCAATCTTCCACAGCTGACGACGGCTCTTGAAATGTGAGAGTAATTTTTGTTGGCCAAAGAATCTCATCTTGATTGGTTTTTCAAATTAAGACAAAATTGTTCTCTTTTCTAGTTATAATCTCCATATAACAGTTGTTCTTTTTTTTTTTTGGGAGTTGTATGGCTGCAAAGGAGGAGTTAAAGTGGTGGAGTGAGCGGCTGCAAAAACCCCACTCTCTCTTTCTTTCTTTCTTTTTTTTTTTTTAAGTTGTTTAGAAACTAGATCTAATGATCTTCAAGTTACAAGTGGGGTTTCCGAAAACAGATTTTGTGATCTTGAAGTCCAAGAAAAATACCAGTTGATCCATTAATGGTCACTATGAAGTTCTGCAATTCGGTTAAGAGGGATGTTCTGCAATTGGATTAAGAACAAAAAGGAGAGAAGAAAAAGAAATTTTAAAATGATAAAATATTCAAATTTTAATGTAATATCCATTCCTGACAAATATCTACCAAGCGCTTGTTATTGTATTGATACCTTGACTACAACCCAATCAAAACCCATACTAATTTTTTGTATATGATTCCAATTACAATTTCGATTCGTCAACGTGAACCAAGCGGCACCTTATTCTTGCTGCATGGATGGTGTTACTTCCTAAAGTTTCGAAAGACCTTGTCATGTAGCAGCATATTGCAGGCCACTTGAGATCCTCGGTGACATGTTTTCTATGCCAATCCAATGCCACCAATAGTATTGCGCCAAGTGTCATGTTATTATTTACACTTGTGTTAAACTAAGCCAAATTAAATTATTAGAAAATTAAAGTGTAAATAATAACATGACACTTGGCACAATACTATTAGTGGCATTGGATTGGCATAGAAAATATGTCACCGAGGATCCCAAGTGATTGCAGGCAGTATAGTTGTTTCCCAAGGATATCAAAGGTGTGAAAGAAAAACTGACATAATTTTTGTGAATTGTACAAGGAGATGTCGGATTTAATTGGTTTTTTGGGTGACATAGATGTTGCATTTAGTCTATTGGTTTTGCTTTTGTTCTTTCTTGTATAAATTTTCTGTGGTTGTTCTGTTTAGGAGATAGCCTTGGTTAGTTGATGGGTTTAGTTTTTCTCTCCTTGACTGTAAAGTTAGGAATTGAGTGTATCATAAGAATGTATTGATGTAGTTCAAGGTAAAATTCCATCAGACAACTTCTCGTATTTCCTTCTCCTCCTCCTCCTCCTCCTCTCTCTCTCTCTCTCTCTCAGCAGAATAAATTTTAGGTGTTTTCTCAAGCTATGTGGAGGGAAATATACATTTCATGATTGCTGTCTTTAGATATCGTCTTAGGAGTGGACTTTATTTGTTGATTGAAAGGATGCTCTTATATGAGAAAAGGTGGTCATAATTTAGAAGTGACTCGAGACATTTGCTATAAGAATTCTGATCCACTTTTTAAAGCTATTACAAGTGCTAGCAGATAAATGGCATGTCTAAGCATTTATCCAACAATATACATTCGACTTTTGTTGAGAAGGTTTTGATCTAGTAGTTAAGATTGAAATTCTTGGGATTAGAGGACCTAGCTCAAATCCTCCTTCCCCTTCTCTGCTTCTAATATCCCATTCCTCCCCTTGTTAGGAAAGAGTATATTGGATTTATTTTCTGTGTAGTCATTTTCTGAATTTTGACCACATAATAAATTGTTAGATTTCGTGGGGTTTTATCATATACATGGCATGCATTTTAACCCTATTCTCAGAAAAAATGTGCTAAGTGACAAAATCTACTGTAAAACTGATCTACGTATGTTGATTAAGCTATTTGAATATTTATGTCAGCTTTTCTTTTAAGTAGCATCTGCAAGGTAAAACTATATGAGAGATTACAGATTGTAGCTTTCGATATAGGCATGTCAATGAGTAAGATTTGGATTGGATTCTTTTGATCTAAATTTAAATCCATTAAAATTTAATTAGGCCCACATCTAGATCGAGATCCTTTAAAAAAGTTAATCCAAACCCAAACTCTCATGGATTTGGATATTTGATGGATTTCCTTAGGTATTTTTTTTGAACATACAGTGAAGAACTAAAGTAAAAATGTCTTAAAAATATATAGTGTTCAAAAATAACATAAAAACCAGCCAATTTTTGTTTTTAAATTAATAAAATAAACAGTCATGAAGTGTTATTGTATTAAATCCAATGGCCATATAATATAGGTTATCATATGTGTATGCAAGCGCGCCCGCGCACACACACACATACATGAGTTTTGGCAGGATCTGATTTGAATTTGCGTATGGATAATAGAAAATCAAATCCTATCGAGACCTATAAATCTCTTATGGAGTTTAGGTTTGAATTTGAGAAATTAAATCTCAAGCCCTAAGTATATTGGGTTTAAATTGAATCTAAATAAGATCGGACCCATTGACTTACTTATTTCGATATATGCTACTATTCTAAGTTTGTGGAGAGTAGTATCTTTGTGAAGCTCTTCCTAGGATAATCTTCAAAAACTGCCCCTAAATGATAATCTGTTCCTTCGCTATTTCTTCTTTGCTTTTACGGTTTTGAATGCTAAGCGTTAGTGAGGAGCGTATTAGTTCATTCTGCAGAGGATGATTCTGTGTGTACTCTAATTATTTATAGGATGTGTTGAAGATCTTTTGAGGTTTGAGCAGCAACACTTCAATAAGATATTTTGACCGCTCGAAGTCAAAGAACAATGGAAGATGCTTTTGATTGGTTGAGACTTGAGAGTGAGGTCTATGTCAGAATTCTCGCGATCGTTTTTGATCATCAGTCTGGCGTTTGTGGTTCCGAAAGGAGGAAACGAAACGAAGTGATTGAAAGAGAGAGTTTGTGGTCATTTGGATTTAAGGGTCCGTTTGTTTCGGGCGAAAATATTTTCCAGGAAAATATTTTCCTAATTTCCTGTGTTTGGTTGCACAAAAGTTATTGAAAATATTTTCCTATGTAAAATATTTTCACCCATCTTATGGAAAACAACTTCCCTTCCAAAGTTACTGAAGTTGTTTTCCGAAATGCATGCATCTCGCCTGTAGTATGTTCCAAACTTACTGAAAATATCTTGTAGTATGTTTTTTTTTTTTTTTTAGTGTAAACAGGAGGATTCGGACCCAAGACCTAATCTTTACACTCCCTCCCCCGTACCACCCAACCCAACCCTCCCCCTAGTATATTCAAAATAAAAAAAAAATCTCATCCTGTTCATCCAATGCTAGTAATTAATTATGTATAATAGGAACATTCTTTTCTAGAGAAACTTTCAGCCGTGAGAGTGCAAGATATATGTCACAATAAGCATTGCATGTGATTGATATTTGACACTAAATGACCAGCAATTTGTTTATTGCTTAAGAAGATATTTTTTATTCATATATACATTTCTCCAATATTTTTTAAAGTTAAATAATGAGATAAATTTTCTTATTTTGCATGGGAAGAAGTACGTAGTTATAATGTGTAGAAAGTAAAGATAGAGATAAAAGTGAAAATATTTCAAAAGTTAAACAAACACCAGAAAAATGAAGTAAGAAAATATTTTCAATAAGCTAACCAAACACCTGAAAATGATGAAAGGGAAATGATTTTCATGGAAAATTACTTCCACGGAAAATATTTTCTCAAGGAAAACATTTTACTTCCAACCAACCAGACCCTAAGTATTTCAAATTTTCATTAGTTACAGATAGTTACAGTTAATTGAAAAAGAAACAATTTCCACCTTTTATCATAACTACTGTTGTAACTATGCTAAACAGGTCACTAGACAACTTGGATTGGCCGTATAATCAGACTTGTAACTACTACTTTTGATCTAGTATGAGTACACACAACAGCAAAACAGGTACAGTTTAAGCAAGTTCTGAGACTGATGATATTGAAATAAAAAAAAAAACTGATGCTATTGAAATGGAATATATATATATCAGAGAATAATATGTGAGAGTTCTGCACAATTCGATAGTACGGTATAAGAGAGAAAAAAATCCAATAATACAAACTCATTTTTGGATATGGAAATGCCCAATTTGTGGCGGACACAGAAAGTAGGCCATTTGATAGTGTCTCTAACTGAAGTTTATTATGAGCATTTGGTGCTGTTGGATGAGCCAAAGCAAATTCAGAGTTGCAACGCAACAGTCTTAAACGTACTAAATGCAATTAGACAACAGCGTTCTTGCCCCCTCACAAAATCCCTTTTACTAACTTTCAAGTAGCTAAATGGACTAGGATGCTAATCTATCGGAATGAATACCTCTACAATGACACCAATTAAAGGCATAAAGAACCTGGCACAGCCTGAAGGATTGTTGGAACAGCATTGGTCGCTAGACAACTTGGAATGGCCAAATCAAATCCTACAAAATATGTATGTTTTGCCATCATTTTCTTATCTCCACAAAGAAGAAGAAGAAGAAGCAGAAGTGTAATAATAAAGACTATTTGATATAAAAAATAATTAACCAAGCAGTTAGCTTAATTCGGGATGTTACAACAAATATGGAAATTAACAGTTTTCCATTTGCTGTACTTTAGAAAACAAACCAATTTAGCGAGGTGCCTTCTTCTTTCCAGCAACAGTAACCTTCTTGCCCTTCAGGGTCCGGCAGTTGTTCTTTGTACGTTGCCCTCCACAGGGCAATCCCTGAATATGCCGCCTCACACCTCGGTAACATTGGATCTCCTTTAGCCTCCTAATTGCAAGTGCAGTAGACCTCCTCCACAAATTTTACCCAGATAATCAGGCAGCATTGGCACAGAAAAATGTAAAAAGCTCTAGTCATGTTATGCACATAGTCGAAACAAAATGTACTTGCATTCAAATTCAGCTCTTATTGGTCCTATTTAATAACATGAATAATGCTATAGCCATACTAACGAAAAAAAAACAAGGAACATAAACGAGGATGAGACATGTTATGCAGATAAACTATTTTACATTTTTCGCTTGTCCACTATTTTACATTTGGCTTGTAAACCAGTGAGTCTCCTTGTATTAATGTTGACCACTCAAGATGGGAGTGTTTTATTTCCTTTTCCCTTGTCCTGTATTCCCTTAAATACAGAACAGAGAGATTGCCTGACAACCCTGAAATTTCATTTTTAACATGCATATCACAACCTATTAGCACCAGGAAAAATAGCTTTCTTCGCTTCATTTTGCCAATTCAACCTTTCCAAGTACATTACCTAGTGCTTGCAATAGCATTGACATACTATGCATACCCTGCATCTGATTTGGGGTACATTAATTTGACATTGAAATTAATTCTCAAGATCCAGCTTTATACATCAAACTGAACATGTCAATAATAACTACAACATAAGCCCATTTAAAAACCTAATGAATTGATAAGATGTGTCATTTGGGAAAGGGATGGGCTGAGTGGTACGATGGCATAAGTGAGAGATTCCGGATTCGAGATCTTCCACTTACACTAAAAAAATTTCAAAAAAGATGTGTCATCCCATAAAAATAAACAAGCAAACGAGCCCATCATGCAACAAGTTGCATTCTAGATAACCATAGCAAGAATAAATAATCACGCCTTTACTTCATAAAACAAATTTAAAGCTCCAGTGTAAAAATTTCCAAATCCATTTACTAAGGAATTGCATTCTATGGAATTTCTTTAAAGGTTTAATGCAATACAGTTCCAATTCAAACAACAGCTTATGAAGCCACAATTAAGCCAGCAAACTAGCTAGAACCCTTTTAACTGGACCCCTAAAACCCCTCCAAAAAGAAAAGAAAACAGAAAAGAGAAAACTACTACCCTCAACAGATAACAAGAAAAAAAAAATGTTCCTTCAGGCATTAATTGAAAAGGAAAAGAAAAACATACAAGATCTCCTTCAATCATGTACTGGGTGACTTCTTCACGGAGAGAGGTGAGTTCTTTTTCAGACAAGTCCTTTGTGAATTTGTTGTCCATTCCAAGGTCAACCAGTATCTGCTTAGCCGTTGTACGCCCAATCCCATGAATATACTGCAAAGAAAACTCCACCCTTTTGCTGTTTGGTATCTCCACTCCTCCCACACGAGCACAACTTATACTCAACCCACCAATCTAGCACCCGTCAACTAAAATATGACAAAAGAGGAAAAAAAAAACGATAATCGAAGAAATCTACCTTTGGGGGAACTGATGAGGCGGGCAAAGAGAAGGAACTGGAGGTGCGTTTTGAAGAGGTAGTGTTGCAGATGAGGAAAATGAAGGTACTACAGGTACGGCTAGTGATTGTGCCTTGATTTTTTGTATTGTATTTCAATTTGCTATTGATTTGTGGCTTCGAGAGGCTGGGTGGAAAAAAGAGAGGAAGTTTCACGTTTATGAAACTTTCTTATCCTCTCCCGGCAGGAAGGGGACTAAGAGATAGGGAAAATGACCAATTTGGCCCCTAAATTATCTTACTTGTGTCAATTTAGTCTCCATATTTTAGTGTTGACCGATTAGATACCTAAACTTAAGATGCAGGTCCCAATTGAGGCGCTCCACCGCAAGGCCACAAGCAAAATCAAGCGGTTGTCAAATTGACCAAATTTATAGAGGTATTTTTGAGACATCACTTATGCGGGTGTAATAAAGCCAAGTAAATTGTGCGTTAAAACAACAAATTCAAATTGAGGAGCTTAATTTGCAGATTTTCTCAATTGGAGAGCTAGGGTTCATTGGAAAAAAGGAATGTCTCCTCAAATTCTCAAAATTGTGTATAGAATCATTGCAAATGCATCTAAGGAGAAATTGGGCCAAAGCAACATCAAGCTCAGCTAGTGTTTCAAGTAATCTAGGTTCAAATCAACCTTCATCTCTCCTTTCCACTAAGCTCATCAGTTTCTGTCTTGAGTAGAACTTGGATTTGATCGCAGGAGTTCCTCACAATAGTCCTATATTTTTTGTACTATTTCTTCTAGTTTACTTGGATCAATACCTTAGCCTTTGCAAATGTTTTGTGAACATGATCTTTTGTAATATGCACATTCAATTCTTAATGCGCTTTTCCTTAAACTCTCTAACTGAAATCTTCTCATTCAATTGCAAGAACTTCTTGTAATGTACATTTAGGAATCCTAAGTTTGCTAGCTTATGGTAGAATGCCCTTCCACATTGATGTTCTAGCCTTATGATTCGTATGACAAAGGCATCACTATTTGGTTCATTAGTAGCATAAGCAAACCATTTGCACTTGACATTCTTGCATTTTGCACTTATTTTTTTGCCATCATTTTTTTTCTGACCATGGTCCTTGCCCCACATCACCTCATAGAAGTCAGCTGCTTGCTTGAATAATGTCTTTGTGTCAAACAGCAACCCAATAAAAAATTTTGGGTCCTTCATGCCAATTTCTAGTCTAAACGGAACATGTTTTGGCTTCTTTGGTGCACTAACTTCATTCAAGGACCGATAGTGGCTGTTTAACTCCTCTGTGCTCATTGAGTCTAGTTCTTCTTAGAGAAAAATCTGCTTTCCATCATAAATGTTGAAATCAATAACAAAAGTGTCTTTTACTTCTGCATTTTCTTACTTAGATGTGTGTGCTTTTTTCCTCTTCTATTTAGCAATTGTTCTTGAAACTTTTCCCTAAATACCAGCCTCTACATTGCCAATCTGATCTTCAAGTGACATATCAACATTTGATGTATAGTTCTTGTATATCATGTCATCATCATCTTTGCTGAAGTTATAATCACTGTCATGAAATCTTTCGCAACCATCATCACTATCACAGCCTCATCACCATCTTCTACTGAAGTTATAATCACTGTCATGAAATCTTTCGCAACCATCATCACTATCACAGCCTCATCATCATCTTCTACAGTTTGACTACCTCTCGTTTTGCCCTTTTCTTTTTACCCTCATCAACTTCTTCAACTGTTACATGAACTAGGAGTTCATCATTCCAAAAGAAGTCATCAAATGTCATGTCTATATGAAACAAGTCTTCATATGCTTTCTTAGAAGTTGAGCAGCCCTTACTAGCATCATCTTCATCTACTTTCATCAACAAGTCTTCAATTTTAGCAATTGTGTAGCCCATACTAGCATTCAAAAATCTGATATGAAACTCATGGACTACATAAAGTTCAACTTTATCACTATGTTTACCTATAGAAGCCATATCCCAAACATCCTTCCCAACATGTACTTCCCTAAGTCTGAACTTGCCATCTATTGTAGGGATTCTATACATGTATCTAGAATCTTTAGGACACTCAAAATATGCACGGTAAATCTTTATAATTTTCAAGTTTAGTCTCATGGCAATAACCCCTCAAAAAGCTCCATGCTACCCCCTACGAATTTTTGTTCTGTTTCTTCCACATAAGCCCTGCCATAGTAAATGGCCATATAAATGCATCCAAGTGTTCACCTGTCATAATTTGCAAAAAAATGACAAAAGAAAAACATATGTTAAACCTTTAGCAACACATGCTCATATTTGCCTTTTCATGAACATGAAAGCAACCTTTCAAATTAACTCAAATTAATTTAAGCCTTAGGGACCACATGAACCATCTGCTTTCAAGGAAAAACATAAAAAAATCAATTGATCCCATATGAGTAATGCAGTATAATAAACACAATTGCAAGCTAGACAATCCAACCCCACATATCATTAAATAGTTTAGCAGATCCTTAGTGATCACATGAACCCTCTTTTTCCTAAAAAAATCAAATAAAACAAAACCTTTTCTAGTTTCTCATCAGATGATCCATCCGAGTAATGTAGTTTATTTAACACAATTGTAAGCAAATAAACCAACTCCACGTATCATTTAAAAATTTAACATATCAAGAAAAAATGATTTCTAAATATTTGAACTTACTAGTTTTGTTCAATTGCCTTTCATCAAAATTACCTTTGATGTTTGATTCACACCCCATTTTGTCTGTCGTTGCAGTCCCATTGCCCTCCTCTTTCTTATCCGTCATCAATTGCCTAAATTTTGCCCAAATATCTCTCAGATTAAAACCCTAGCTTTGTTCTACATAAGTTGCTTTCAGTTTTGGTATGTTCTTAGAGTTTTATCTCATGTAAAAAGTGATTTTGCTTGACGTTATTACAGTCCCATAAGTGATGTTTTGAAAGTACCCCCTCTATTTGGTCAATTTGAATTAAACTCAACTTTTGTTGGTGGTGCCACCATGAAGGGCCTCAATTGGATTTGCATCTTAAGTTAAGGTATCTAATTAGTCAAGAAAAAAAGTATGGGAACTAAATTTGTGACGACCCCACATCCCCCTATGGCGTACCCAAGGGTTTGGCGGACCTCCTGTCCAACTTTTGCCATGACTCATTTACTTACATTCTTGAAATAGCCTTTCACACCTCCAGATTTACATAAAAGTTCCATTCATTTAAGAATTTCAACTTAATTTACACCCTAAAAGTGAAAAATAGGATTTCATTACCAAAGATTCCAAAATACATTTCATCTACAAAAGTACAAGTATACGAAGATTATATATATTATTTCACGCTTACTTGCTCTAGCCTCCATTCCTGTAAGGAAAACAAAACTAAAAAAATGAGCTAAAACCCTATTGAGGTTCCAAAACGAGCAATTAGGTAGATAAAATATGAAAGTATTACATTTAACATTTTACACACTTTGCACAGTAATAAACAATCATTCAAGAAACAAATATTCAATCATTGGAAGGATACATGCTCACTTGGAACCATTCATTCATTCAATCATTCATCTCCGACCATTTCTCCCTTATACCTCTGAAACATGAATTGAAAATAAAAACTCCTTCAGTGATCATTTCATTCAGTCACTTATTTTATTCACTGGCCAGTACTCCACCAGACTTCGTGGTCATATTCGAGTATACCAAAACAGTGGCTCACGGTCACCAATCTACCTGACTGAGTCCGCTTCTGGCTCGAATAGGCTAGAGACGAAGGGCAAGAGCCCAGTTTAGCAAAAGGTCTACATTCATGCACAAGTAATATTCAATCATTTGATTATTGAAAATTCACATTCACTTATGTCGAGTACGATAAAGTACACCCTCGCCTAACAGTCAAGCAAACATTTACAACACTCACCGATATCAGTAGTCAAGCAAACATTCACATTCATTGAAAAGCGTTTAAAAGTCAAGCAAACATTCATAACATTCCACATAGTCATTGGAAGAACAGCATGCAAGGAACACTCATCGATATCAGTAGATTAAATGTCAACTCTCTGGATGATAACCTTGATCGTTACCAAACCCTGAGGCAAGATTCACAATCACAATAGATTTAAACTTAGTGGATTCAACTAGCCAAAACATACACGTCTAGTATTCCAAGGTATTCCATATACTTCTCACTTTGAATTCAAGACTTTAAGATAAAATCCAACACAAGTATTCTAAAAGTGAGAAAAGCAATTTAAGCGTCCAAGATCACACCAAATTAAGGTTTAGGACCTAGAAAAGTTTTGCCAAAGTTTTCCAAATCCCCCTTAATTCATTTGACAAAAATTTCAACTTTGGTGACAATCTTTGAAAAACATAACTTGAGTTCCGTAGGTCAGAAAATCATAAAACTTATACCATTAGAAAATAGATTCGAAGCACTAGAAGACATTTTCATAAAATTCAACTCATATGTTAGTCAAATATCAGTTCAAACTCACTGCTATCTCATGTACAAAAGCAGAACATTGATGGTTTTCAAGAAATTTTACAGATTTGCTGGTATTTGTAAGAGTTGAATCAAACCCTGAATTTTATATCGTTGAAAGTACTATGAGTCTAGTTTCAAACGCAATAAACAGAACTCAATTTTGACTTTCTTATACGAAGTTATAATCAATTTTTCAAAGCTGTACAGGACTTCCTGCAAAAATTTTCTAGCATGCTATTAGTTTGGAAAACTAAGTTTTTTCCCTCCTTAAACCTCTTTGTTTTGGTTCAAAACTAACACACATGCAAAGAAAAAGATTGTAATAAGTGTTTTGAGAAAATACATATACAAGAGGAAGATAAAATGCCCTAAATTCACCCCTTAATCCTCACTTGACCAACAAGGAGAAAATCCAGCAATATGTCTCCATTTTTCTTCAAGTTAAACATCCAATTCAAGTCTTAGTTTCATAGTAAATAAACCTCATTCAAGGCCACATATTGTAGGAGACAAATGGTGCATACGCTAAGCCACAAAACTATCAACTTTGAACATATATAATAAGCTCCAAATCACTTACACCAAAACTGAAAATTTTCAACTCAAGGCTGGAAATTGTAACTAAAGCTGGAAATTCGAATATAGAAGCTAGAAAACCTCATCTCAAGGCTAAAAAGTTCATCCAACCTCATATCCAAGCTAATCCATTCATATCAAGGTGTTCCAATACATTTCAAAACTGAAAATTACAGCCTACTAAGTAAAACCGTGAAATCTTTCATAGAATCCATCATAATCCAGTCATGTGTTGCTTAAATGACAAAATAAGAAGGAAAAAAAGATGTTCTTAATACATCAAAACCCCCAAAATAAGTTGCTAGATAAGAACTTTCTTCCTCCCAAAAGCTCCACCAAGCTCACCTGCAAGCTTTCCCCAAGAGTGATCGAAGTGGATTCGAGTTTCACATTGATTTCTCAAGAATCAAGCAAGAAATCAAGTTGAAAAATTGAGAATTTTCTCTCTCTTTTCTCTCATAAATTTCGGCCAAGAAGGGGAGGAAAGTGAAGGCTTTTAGTTGTGAAAATAAGAGATAAAGGCAAGGCTTAGTTTGGTCAAAGAGGGCTTAGATTATTGACACATGACAAGGCTTGGTTCAAGCCTATCTCTTTGTCTCTTGTTTGTCTCTAATTTCCAAGATAACTATGGTTTCTCTAATATACTCTTAATATTTCTAATCACATAATTCCTATAGTACCACACTTGTTCTCGTCCACCAAATTTAACGCACATATCTCACTAGTTAGTCAAACTAACTTAATACTCTACAAAACTTAACATGCACTAAAATATTAAAAAAAAGAGAAAAATGTTAACTTAACCTTTAAAATCACTATCAAATTAAGGCTAGCAAATAAGCAAGTAAAGTAAAATAAAAGAAAATATAAATAGAATTTTAAAAAATAGAAGAAAATTTAAAAATAATTTTCGGGTCCTCACACTCTCTCCTTTTTAAGAAAATTTCGTCCTCAAAATTTTTATCGTCCATTGCCTCAGATGACTCCAGAGCTGATTGCTTGTCTATGGTGTATACCCACGCTAGTACTCTTGGTCTGTTCCCTATTTCATTAGCTTGTCTAGGGTTAGTTTTATCCCCATGTTGAGCATTATTCCCTCGTTGCTGCTTCTTCGAGCAGTTGTTAATTTAATAGCAGTACTCCCACAAACTAAGCACTTTCGCTCCTTCCTCTAGCAATCATCTTCAGTGTGATTTGTCTTCTCACAGTATCCACAGGCCAAGCGAGGAGCCACTTTTTGGCCTAGTAGGGTATGATAAGGAAGATATGGGATCTATTTTTGCATCTATTTTTGCCTTATTGACTTCAATGCCTTTAGATGGCACTACATAGCCTAGAATTATCCCGCACTTAACCATAAAGTGACACTTTTTTCAATTAGTATGAGATTAGTTTCAATACATATTTTAAGAATAAGAGTCAAATTCTCAAGGTATTCGTCGAAACTATCTCCATCGATACTAAAATCATCCATAAAGACCTCTATTATTTTCTCAGCATGTTGAGAGAAAATACTTACCATACACCTTTGAAAAGTTGCAGGAGCGTTACATAACTCAAATGGCATTTTTCTATAGCGAAGGTACCTAATGGGCACGTGAAAGTAGTCTTTCCTGGTCTTCCAGTGGTTTTTGCAATCTAAAAGTATTCTGAAAAATCATCCAAAAAGTAGTAGTAAGCATGACAAGCTATTTTTCAACCATTTGATCAATAAAAGGCAAAGGATAGTGGTCCTTTTTGGTGATGGCATTTAGCTTTCGATAGTCGATGCATTGTCGTCATCCCATTGGTTTGTGAACAAGAACCAGCTCCCCATTGTGATTAGCTTCTACCATGATTCCGACCTTCTTTTGAATAAAATGCACTGGACTTATCCATGGACTATTAGAGACGACATAAATCATTTCCACATCCAACAACTTGAGTATTTCCTTTTTTACAACTTTTATCATGAGAAGATTTAGCCTCCTTTACGCTTGTCTTACATGCTTTACGTCATCTTCAAGCCATATTCTATGCATGCAAAAAGAGAGGTCTATACCTTTGATGTCAGCTATTGTCCATCTTATCGCCTTTTTGTGATCTTTTAGGATGCGAATCAATCTCTCCTCCTGACTAGGGTCTAATTTTGCAGAAATAATGATCGAGAGTGTCTTTTTACCTTCTAGATATGCATACTTCAAGTGCTTCGGTAGAGACTTTAGTTCCACTTTAGGTGCCTGTACCACAGAAGTTAACAACTTTTGATGAGACTCTGGTGTGAAAATAGTTGCAAGTTCATATCTTGTCTTAGTAGAAGCTAATGACTGCAGTGTTTCAACCATGCATTCTAACTCTGCTCCTAGTTCCACATCATAAGTTGCCCCCAACTTGAGATGTTTAGTGAGGACAACTTCTAACTTATTTCTGCTATCAATCTCAAAAATTTCCTGTACTACAAGGTCAATCACACTCATAACAAAGACAGAATGAGAGTCAGATGGATATTTCATAACTTCAAATATATTGAAATGGACCACCTTCTCATCAAATTCCATTGTAAGTGTGCCCTACTTAACATTTATTTTTGTCCCAACTTTGCTCAAAAAAAGGTCTTCCTACTATAACTGATGATGAATTTAGCGAACGTTCATCATTCATGTCAAGCACAGAAAAGTTAGTAGAAAACACCAATTCATTAATTTGGACCAAGACATCTTCAACTAATCCATTGTGCTATGCATTGGTACGATCAGCTAATTGAATTATAATATTTGTTTTCTTTAAGGGTCCTAGATTTAAGAAGGTATAAATACTCTTCGATATATATTAATTGAAACTGCTAACTCTAGCATAGCCTTTCTAATCCTAGTGTTTCCTATACGACAAGGGATAGAAAATATATCTAGATTTCCACACATTGGTGGTAGTTTCTTTTGCAACATTGCTGAAGCATTTTCCCCCACTACAATTCTTTCATCGCCTCTCAATTTCTTCCGATTGACACGTAAATCCTTAAAAATTTGGCATACCCAGGCACCTGCTTAATTGCATCTAACAGAGGGATGTTTATCTCCACCTTCCTGAATACCTCTAGGATCTCTTTCTCCTTGTCATGCCTTTTTAGCTTCTCCAACCTGCTAGAAAAGGTGGTGGGTTAGTATTAACTTTAATTGAAGGGTTCAGATTTACCTCAGGAGTTGTCTCATTTCTTGCTTCTTCCTCCAACTCCTTTTCAATTTGATCATTGATCTTGTTCTTCGAAACTACATGTTTTGGCCCTTCAATTTTCTTCCTAGTTCTGAGGGTCATGGCGCTTACATTCTTTGGATTCATCTCAGGTTGAGAAGGTAGTCTCTCTCGTCCTTGAAACTCTGGACGGTTTATCGTAGAGGTCAGCTAATTCACCCAATTTCTTAGATCTTGTATACTTGCATCCATCCTCTACTGAAACTACAAGGTATTTTGTTGAAGTTGTGCGGTGTTAGCAACCAATGTGTTCACCATATCCTCAAGAGATGTATTTGTCTTGGATGAAGAGGATTGAGGTCTTGATGGGTGTTGTGGCTCAAACCCTTGTTATCTATTAGGGACCGAATTCTACCTATTTCCTCCATAACTAAAATTTGGACGGTCCTTCCAACTCAAATTATTCGTATTAGAGTAAAGATCATACTGTCTACAGGGCGCGAGCGCGTATCCAACTATATTTACTTGTTCCGTGCTATCATTTCATAGCATTGGATACCCATCAGTTGGGTGACTAACATCCTTGCAGATTCCACGTCTTGATATGTTGCATATTTTCCATTGTCATTTGGCGAACCATAGAAGTCAACTTTGCCAACTGCACTTGCACCCATGAAATACTTACCTCATTTACGCGATGAGTTAGAGTATCCTCTCTTGTGCCGAGCTACTGGTAGTTTTCAGCCATCCCCTAAATTAACTCCCAAGGTTCTCAAGGGGTTTTATTCACTAAAGCATCTCCACTTGCAACGTCGATGGTACTCCTACCTCTGTAGAGCAGGTCTTCATAGAAGTACTGGATGAGGAGTTGTTTTTGCTAATTTGATGTTGGGGACAGCTGGTGCATAATTTTTTGAATCTCTTCCAATATTCATAGAGGGACTCCTCGGAATTCTGCTTAATTCCACAGATCTTTTTTTGTAAGCTGGCAGTCCGAGATGCAGGGAAATATTTTTTCAAGAACTTTCTTTTCATGTTTGTCCATGTTGTGATACTCCCTGCTGGCATGTAGTATAGCCAATCCTTGGCAGCCCCTTTCAATGAAAAATGGAATGCCCTCATCTTGATTTGCTCCTCAATGACACCAGGTAGCTTTATACTTGTGCAAACTATTGTGAACTCATACAGGAGTCGCGTCCCATTTTTATTGAAAAAAATAAAATTTACGGGTTTAGAAAAATGAATATTGATTTATTTTGATTGAAAATGAGTTTTTGATTTGTAGAGAATAAATAAAGGAAAAAGGGCATAAAATGAGGTTTAAAAGTGCGATGATTTGGTGCAAAATAATAGTTTAAAAGGGGTTTTTAATGAATAATAGGAGTTGCCACTTGGTATTGAGTTAAGGTGTACCAAGTTACCTAAAAATTTTAAAATAAAAAAATAGAGAAAACCCTTTTTAAATGACTCCAAATCCTCAAAAATCAGAGAAAAAAGTTCGTGAGTCACGATTGAAGAAAGGGAAGGCAAGGATAAAATTCAAGACACTCTTTCAACCTAGCCAAGGCTAGTTGTGTGATTTAGTCAGAAATTTTTCTTAGTTTAACCTAAAAACCTATCACATTTGGATGTCACTTATATGAATGCAATCCTAGACCTAATGGTTATCGGAAGGATCAATATGTCTTTTCAAATCTTGATTGATGCAAGTCACATTAATTGTGATGTCCAAAAGTGACTCTTTGAAGAGGTCACGAAATTTGCAAAAATGAGACTTGAAGAAAAATAATAATATACAAATATACATGACCAAAGGGAATGCATCATAACGGGTGCGAGGAACTAATATTCGTGACTTTTAATTTTCCCTTTAATAGAGGGAATACGAGTATGCTAAGGTTAGAGAACCATACTCGTCCATATCCCATATTTGAAAGGTTATTTTCCTAATTTAATCAAACAAATGCACTAATCTACTCCTAACTTTCCTTAAATGAAATGCATGTCTAATGTCATGTCTCACACATAGGGATAAGGAATATATATATGGAGAATATGGGATAAGGAATATATATATATATAAGAAAAATATGGGATAAGGGATATACATATATGGGAATAGAGGATAAGGGATATACATATAAGGGAAATATCATACAAAAATAATAAAAGACCCTAAGAAGTAGAAAATATGCATGAAAATGTAGTGATTGTCATACAAACATGATCTAACGTGTGGATAGTCCCTAAGAGTCTAGCGTTGGTCTAGCCCATGTCTATGAGTTTCTACTAGCGTTGGACTAGCGAGAAAACGGAGAAAAGGGCCACAACTAGCGTTGGACTAGTGTGGTGACATCGTACATTCATTATAATCAAATAAATCATATAAGACAAAATGAAAGCAAGTAAACACATAATATCACATAAAACACATAGCACATAAGCATGCTATCTAGATGCGAGACCTAAAAAAGCGAGTAACATGTAAGCACATAAGCATGCAAAACACACAAAGCAAATAAAACAAATAAAAACATAACTATTACATTTAGGGTCCTAATTACAATCTAAAGGGGGAAGAAATAAAATAAATAACTAACTATTACATATTCTATCTAGATACATATCTTGAACCACCTAACTATTATAATTTGACATTTAAATGCCTCTTAAATAATCAAAAATTAAATTAAATTAAACATACAAAACTAAAAACACATAAAGTGAATAAATAAATACAAAACTAAAAACACACCAAATACTTACCTGTAGTTATTTTACAGTGAACTAAAACAAGCAAACATACAAAGGTCAGTGGGATAAAAAAACCGAGCCTACCGAGGTTGGTTGGATAAAACCCAAGCCTAACAAGATAAAAACAGTCAGTATGATACAACTGAAGCCTGCCGAGATTTGTGGGATAAAACCTAAACCCAACAAGATAAAAATGGTCAGTAGAATACAACTCAAACCTGCTGAGGTTGGTAGGATAAAATCTAAACCCAACAAGATAAAAAAAAGGTCAGTGGGATACAACCCAAACCTGTCGAGATTGGTGAGATAAAATCCAAGCCCAACAAAATAAAATGATCACTGGGATACAACCAAACCTACCGAGGTTGATGGGATAAAACTCAGACCCAACATGATAAAACGGTTAGTAGGATACAACCCAAGCCTGCCTAGGTTGGTGGGATAAAATCCAAACCCAACACGATAAAACCGTCAGTAGGATATAACCCAAACCTGTTGAGATTGGTGGGATATAACCCAAACCCAGTAAGATAAAAACGGTCAGTGGGATACAACCTAAGCCTGTCGAGATTGGTGGGATAAAATTCAAACCCAACACGATAAAATGGTCAAGCAAAGTAAATTGACATAATTAGTATAGACACCAAAATTTTAATTTGGTTTAGTTAAATTTTTGCTTCATTTTTTATTTATTTATTTATTCTTGTTTTATTTTATTTTACTTTACTTTATTTTAGTTGATCAAATTGGTAGTAGAAAATTAGATTCATCATTCTTTTTAAAACATTATTATTATTATTATTGTTATTAAATTTCTAAAAAAAAAAGAAGAAGAAGAAAATTCTCAATAAAAATTCATTTTTATCTTTTTCAAACTCAATTTTTTTAAAATAAAATGACATTTTGTAAGGTAATTACAGATTAGCATTTTATTTATCAAAAATTGGTTTCGAAAAAAATACAAAATAAAAAATATATGGCACACATGCAACAGGGCCAAGTGGAGGCCATGCAAACTAGGTAGGTGGGGGGAGACAATGGACAAGTGTTTCTTTATTTCTTTGACAGCACATCATCTAAAGGATAGGTGGCTAGGACACTTGGAAGCCTAGGAAAAATTTGAAAAAAAAAAACAAACAAAAGGGAAAAGAAAAAACAAGGGAAGCTACGGGAAGGGGGAAAAGAAACCAAGCAAGAAAAAAGAAATAGCGACGGGCTAAAATAAAGAGGAAAAAAGAAAGGAAAAGGAAGCTACGGGGCTGAGGAACAAAAAAGGAGCAGCTACGGGAACAAGGGGAGAAAAAATCAAGAGAGAGTTTTCAGAAACAAGGGAAGGTTTCGACTGGGAAAACAAAGAAGGAAAAGTGGGAGAGGAAAGAATGAGAGAAACTGGGAAAAAAAAAAAAAAAAGCATGGGAAAGGGAAGAAGGAAGCTCGGGCAATAGGGGGAAGAAATGAGGAAAACTAGAAAGGAAGCTTCGGAGGAAAAACCAGGAGCTTGGGGAAATTTAGGAAGGAAAAAGAAAACAACAGAAAGAGAGCAAAGAAAGGGAGAGTTACGGGCAAGAGAAAAAAAACAGCAAAGAAAAGAGAAAGAAAGAAACAGAAGGGTTTCGGGCAGGGGTAAAGAGAGAAAAGAAAGAAGAGTAAGGGAGGAGGAAGAGACAGTGGAGAGTAGGAGAAACAAATGAAAATCCAAGGAGAGGCTTCAAGTTGACAGGGAAGAAATAAGAAACAAAAGAAAGGCAAGGAAAAAAAACAAAAAAGAGGGTTTTCTGGGATAGGGGAGGAAGAGAGGAACGGGAGAAAGAATAGGAGGATGAGAGGAAGAAGAGAAAGAGAAAAAGAAGGGAAAAGGAAGGAAAGCAAGCAAGGAAAAGAAAAAAGGAAGGGGACGGGCTGAACAGAAAAAAAACAAGGAAGGAAAAAAAGAGAGATTGAGGGAGGCTACGGATAGAGGGGAAGGAAGAAAAGAAAAGAAAGGAAGAGCGAAAGAAAGAGGAAAGAAACAAAAGGAACAAAGGAAAAGAGGATCTGGGGAGAGTCAGAGGAAGAGTAGGAGGGCAGCGGAGCAAGAAAGGAAACAAAGGAAAAGAGAGAAAACCGAGGGAAAAAGGAAATTTTTCTGGGATCAGGTTAGCGAGGTAGCCCAATTTCCGATCAAATTCCGACCTAACCTCCAACCCTTAGAGCACGATTCCTTTTCTGAACCTTCTTTGGACGTCATGCAACAACTTTTGTTCAGTGATTACTCCTTAAAAACACCTCCAACGTGGCCGTATTTGAGCTCCAAGTTGCGGTTTTTCCAGTGCTGGGCATCTCTATAGCAGAATTCTCTTCATCCGTTTGCGTTTGTACGTCTCGCCTTGGAGTTCTCGTGATTGTTCAACCTTATAAGCGACAAAGGCTAAAGGTAGTCTTTCTATCTTTTCTAGATTATGGGGTTTACAGCAAAGGCATTAAAACCGTTGTTGCTATGCTTGTTGCCGCGTTCTTCTGTTTTCCTTCCTCCTTGTATTTTCTATTCACGAACCTGGGTGGGAGTTCTGAGCCATGAAACTGGTGTTTTTTCTGTGTTGTTGGCTTTTGGTGCAAAAAGGGGAGAACAATGGGTGTAAATAATTTGACTAGAACCATGTTTCTTATGGCTAAGCATCTCTGTTTCTTCTTTGTTTTTTTTTCTTTCTTCCTTTATCATTTTGGTTCCAAAATCTGTTAATCGATCTGATGTTTGGTTTTCTTTATGAGGGTGAGAATGATTTTGACATGGGTTTTAGTACTCTTAAAATAAATGTTTTGGTTCCTTTCCGTTTATGATATGACGACCCTGGATGACCTGCTATGGGAATTCAAGAAACCAGCGAAGAAGAAGATGAATTCTTCGAATCAGTTGCATGAAATTTCAGACAAATTGCATTCTAACCCCTCAGGTTTCCCCTTGTTCCACTATGGCCCAGAAAATCGAAAAATTAAATCAATTTTGCCCCTTTAAAATGCTATTTTCCTTTGGCATGTCTTAATGTGATTTTTGGATAGATTTTTAGTGAATTTTGGGGATGAATTTGGAGGTTTAATAATTTTTGATAGATTTATAGTTTTGATTTGGATTTTTAGTAAAATTTTGGGTAACTTTGTTGTTTAATTATAGCAAATGGGTTTTCATTCATTTTGTGAAGTTTAGTATTTGGTTTTAGTATGCTTCATCTTAAGCCTTTAATTTTATATTATTTTAA